TTCCATTGAGCTTGAATACGGGGATATATATAATTATATCCCAAGGGTTTTGGATGAAAAGCCTTAATGATAAGGGAATTCATCCAAGGTTCTCTTATGCGCTTCTTTTCAGCCTTAGAAAGCAAGACAATGGGTGTAGGATCATCTGGATCTTCATCCACATCAGAATCTTCATCCACATCAGAATCTTCATCCACATCAGAATCTTCATCCACATCAGAATCTTCATCCATGTAGCTGGGAGTGGTAGCAAAGGAGACTATTGTTGGATTCTCTTCGAAAAGGAGCTTATCTCGGTATGACAAAGTAGGAGGATTACTGAGCCCTTTTTGGGCAGGAACAGAGCTTGTCGATGACGGAACAGGGTCCGTCATCTGAGCATCCGAGGAAGCCACCAACGTAGATGAAGATTCACCTACTGGAGCCTCACCCATAGTGGAATCTGGTGGAAGATCTGAAGGTTTGATCTTTTTGGTACTGCGAGCCAAAAGATCCAATTCCTGCGATGAGGAAGTGGAGTTCGAAGATTGCCGGTGCTCAAACAACGAGAGCTTTTCGCGAACATTCATTCTTAGTAAGAGAGAGATGTACTTTTATTAGACAAATGTAGACCGTAAAGAAGATTGAAGCATATATAATATAAGACCAACTCACTACCAAATTTCACAAGAAAGGGTCCTGAGCCGGTCTCCTTAATCTCAAGTTTTAGAACCATTGGCATTGGGCTTTTCAGGTTCATGACCACTCTGTAACCGTAAGTATCAATACCGAGCAATTTTAGGAAGTGCCGTAACACTTCGGAAGCAGCTCGATGTGCTGATGGGTGCGTATCGTAATGCTGATGTAAAGGAGGTGAATCGGAAGTACTACGATCGCGATGTGTGCCGCCTCTACTTGTCTGGCCTTTGTCCTCACGAGTTCTTCCAATTAACGGTATTCTCCTGATTGATTCCTTAATTTTTTTTTTTTTTTTATCTTTTCTTTATGTTTCGTTAATTGTTAAATGATTCATACCCATCTCTTTCCTTTTGAACCCTAGTTTATGAATTCGAATTGCTTATCTGTGTTTGGTTTCTGAGAAATTTGGTGTTTTAGAAGTAGGAGAAGTTTAGAAAGAGAGATTGGTTGAGTTGGGGTTGAGTATGGGAGCAACACATCATCTGGTTTTTGTTATGCCCCAAATCCTAATTAAGAAGTGATGAATTGAAATTTGTGTCATTGGTTTTATTGTGAAAAATTGGATTCTAAGATAGAGGGAGAAAGGAAAGTCGCTGAATTAGTGATGGTAAGCTTGTGTTACATGTATTTATGAAGGCTGCTACTCGAAGCATTTTGAAAATGGTTTTTAATGAAATATAAAGAACAAGAGAAAAGAAGTGGTAGTTGTGCATGAATAGCATAAGTATGTTATTATTAGCTATTTTGGGTTAGTTTGGTAACCTATTATTTGTATAAATTAGAACAAGGGTCATGGATATAAGTTTTCTATTTTGTCATGGGTATATTTGTAAGAGATATAAATTCAAATGATAAGGATGCTGTTTCTGTTTACTTTCGATTGCTTATCCTGCTTACCTATGAGGTGTCATGAATAGTGCTATGGCATTAAATTCTCTATTTATCACAGGTATGTAAGATGTAAGACAAATAAACAAGATATTTTTGGTTGTGATCCATGTTTCTTTATAAATTTAATTAGTTTCTCCTTTACATTCCTATTTTTTATTGTCAACTTGTATGACACATATCATTTTATTTGTTGAGGAAGGTATTTTGGTGAGTTTCTTAGGTAGATACTATATGCTCTTGTAGTATTCATGGGTATCATTGTTCTTATGTGGTAAACTCTTATATGTTCAACTTTAGCTTTTGGTCACATTTGAGTTGCAGATACTTGTTTATAGTTTTCTCTGTAAGTTATTGAGACTTTGGGATTTCTGATTTCAAACTCTTGTTTTCTTTTTAAGTTATGTATAAAAGGAGGGGGTGGAGGTTGGGCAGGCTGCTAGTATTTTCTATGGAGGTTTATATGTATGAAGTGTGTCTCTTGAATTGGAACAAAGATGTGTTTTCTACCTTTCCAATTGATGACGAGTACTTGATTTGTTTTCTTTGATTTAACATGGTTATTCTTCTTTGAATTAATTGATTCAGGGTGCTGTCCAAGTTTACAACAATTGTTGTGAAGTTTTTGTTTGTCGGTTCAATAGATTTCATAAATTTTAAGATTTTATATGGTACAGGTGGATAACCATAATTGAAGTTTGACTGCTTTCCCCATTATTTCAACTCTAAGGTGTTTAATTTGTTATAAAAAGAATAGTTAAATGATTTAATCAGTATTTTTAGAGTGAGGAGACTGCCTTAGAATACCCATTTGTCTGGTTGATATGTTTGGATGGTTAAGATTAAATCAATATGGTTGAATTCAGCCCAAGGCTATATCCCCTCCCATATTCTGGTGGACCTGGACAATGGTTCCAAAGAATGGTGAACCATTCACATCATTCGGTGTGCCTTTAAATGGCAGATTAGCATGACAAAGTAATGGTGTGTCACACTTGCACTTTTGTCGTGGCCTTTGTAAATGAGTTTTTGAGAATTCTTGAGAAATTTCTCTTGTTAGGGAGTTTAATATATGATTGGTTTCAGTGATTATATCAAATCCATAACATTGCATTGCTTGACTTGATGACTTCCTAGTAAGCCATATCATGTTTCATTTTTGAAGCCTTTTTACAAGTGTTTTGTTTAAAGTGTTAAATGTTAAACATACAACAATTATGCTGCATAATATTTTCTTTGTCCTTTGTCTTAATATTTACTGTGGATGAATTGTGTAAATTTTATGATTAGCTTTAGGGTGTCAATGATTTCTTTTTGATTTGCAGATATTGAAGGCAAGACAGATCTTAAAATATGAGCTCTAGAAGAATCAGAAGAGCTTACAGCTAAAAGAGCAGATAAACAGGTACTTGATAGCTTCTTTAGATGTAGGATTGGAAATGGGTCTCCAAAAGTACTGATTTATTCATCAGGATTTCTGATATTGACTGTGTATTAAGTTCCTCATAATTTGATTCTTGTATAACATTTAGTCTCTTGGTATATATGATGTTTTTGTTTCTTGTTATAGTCAGCACTGCTTTTTGATGCATTTAATAAAGATCAGGCATCTTTGCCCCAACCATTGCCAAACCCTCTATCTTTAGCACCATTGCCTGTGCTTGCACCTGATCCTCGGACCCAAGAAATGATAAATGGGAAGCTGAAGAAAGCTGAGGATCTTGATAAGACTCAGGTTATTTGAACTCCATTTTTTATGTATGTAAAACAGGGAGAAAAACATCTTGAGTTCTTGATGATAGATATCTATTAGGTAGCATGTGTTAAATAACATAAACATCTGGAGTTCTCAATGATAGATATCTATTAGGTAGCATGTGTTAAATAACATAAACATCTTGAGTTCTCAACGATAGATATCTATTAGGTAGCATGTCTTAAATAACATTTTTTGAATGCTCCGTTGTCTTTAAATTCCTGCAAATGGAATAGCAGTAATCCTTAAGTTGTTTCTGAGGTATTTATTATGCCAATTTATGTTCCTTACTGTTCGTGCTTTTTCCTTTTTTCCTATAAAAAAATGTCAATGTCAGAAAATTTGTTTTCCCTCCCCTTCCAAAACAATTGTCAATGGCTGATGAAGACTCAGTGCCTTACATTAACAATGCGGTTAGGGTGGTTTCATTTAAAATATACAGAAAGGCTATTAAAAATTTTGATTACCCAAATATCTCTGAATGATAAAGATGAAATGATAATGAAACTAATAAATCAATAAAGTGAAGACTTGCTCTTGAATGAAATGGCTTCTTGTTCATAATGTTAGCCCAAAATCAAAAGTCTTTCTGATTGACATTTATGAAAAAGGCCGGCAGTTGTATTAAGAAAAGGTTCCTTGGGGTTTGGATTTTAGTTATTTGGAAATCTATTTTATTTGTTTGAAAATTGTACTTATCTGTGTTTTATTGAATTGTGTTCTACAAAGTTTTCAAGAATACATGATGTACTTATCAGTGTTTTGTTAATAGCCTCTCTTCCTCTCTTATTGTTGTTTAGGTGAGAAAGGGATGGTAGACAAGGCACAAAAAGCATTAGAAGAGGCTGAAGCACTCAAGATGGTTTTAATTTCTGAATTTAATAGTGTTATTTCTGTAAATTAATTTTTATTAGCTTGCACCATATCCTTCTCCTTGGTATGCCTTATTTGTGGATAATTGTTTTTCCATTTGTTCAGCTCTTTGCTAGACAGGAGCCTGTTCTGAATTCCTCAAAGTATACTGCTGCTGATGTTCGCATTATGAGTTCTGTTTTTCTTTCTTTCAGTTTCACAGAAGAAAAATTATGATAAAAACTAGATAAGAAAACTTAGACACACTTGGACCTTATTGGGAAATTATGAATTCAATTTGCATAATTAATGCATGCATAGTCCCCTATCATAATTGATTTTAGTTAAATTTTCTTTTAGTCCATTTATATGCTAATATTCTATCTGCTCAAATTTTTTTGATCCAATTTTTTTTCAGACTGATCAAAAGCCATGTGTTTGTGATATTTGTGGAGCATTTTTGAGTGTTTATGACAGGTACATTTTATTATCTTCTACTTCTTGATAATAGTCTTTTATCTTCTTTCTAAGGGCTTCAGAAAGTTAGTGTTTGAGGTTTCAAGTGCTTCAGCTTTTGACCTGCTATTATACCTCCTTGTCACAAGCAGGCTTTTTGGGCCCAGTTTTACGAGGATAACTTTTGCAGCTACATAATGTGTGTCTTTTTCTGTTTTTGTACTTGTAGATCATGCAATTGTTAGATAATAAATATTTGGGAAACTGTATAATCTATAATGCATGCTACTGCAATATATATATTATTTGCTTTTTTTGAGTTTCTAGGTCAAAGTGATTTGATTTTTCTTGTTCCTTTCAATGGCCCATGTTTACCTGATCATTTTGGAGGCAAACTTCATTTAGGCTATATGCAAATCTGTGATAAATTAGCAAAACTTCAGGTAAGATGATTTACATGCTTAGTATATGCTGACCGTCTATGGTGGCTCTGCTTTAAGTGTTACATAAGGCTAGGGATAGTGCCTGGCATCCAAGGTGTTGGTTGTGTAAATTGCTAGAACTATCCACTTACTATGTCTATTATTATTATTTTTTTAAATAATCAGAACTTTATTTGAACGCTGTTACTTAATGGATTCTAGTAGAACAGCAAATCAATTCATCTTTTCTGGATCCCCTTAAGTTTGTATTGTGAATATGTTGGTCAGGTGCTGGTATAATGTTTCTCATTCTTCTATACAGATTTTCAATTAGTATCATCTGTGAGTTTTTCTGACCTCAGAGAAGAATAATATCTCCCATTTTTCAATTTCTTTTGATTGTTTTTAGATGCTGGACTTTAAAACAGTATTTTCTATCTTGTCTGTGCATGTTGGGCTTAAAATGTATCATATATGAATTGTCTTCATGCTCGACCAATTTTGATAGATTAGTTTTTTCGGCTGAAAGAATGAAAAAAAACGAAAAAAGGAAACATGAAATCAAATAGGAGAGAAGTACAAGAAAGGAATTTGTTGTAAGTAATGCGAGAAAAAAAAATGACCTTTTCATATGTTTAAAATCTATGACAATAAATCTGATGAAGGCCTGATTTGATCAGGGTAAGTTGCCTACTAATTATGCCTACCACTATTAGAATTCTTTCCTGATGGTCCTTATGGCATGTTATATTTAGCTAAATTGAAGTGGCATTTAACTTTTCGAAAGAAGCATTCAGTAGTGTATGGTGATTATTGTTTTCTCAGGAAGAGAGAAACAAGAGTCGCAAACTTGACCCGTATGATGACAAGAGGTAATCCTCACGTGGTTTCTTTTCCTTTTTCCTTTTGGTAAACCATTGGGTGGTGAGTGGGGTGTTGTGATATCCTTTTTATTGGTGGTGTATAGATCGAAAGAAAGAAGCAGAGATCAAGAGAGAGAATCAAGTCGGGACCGAGACCGAGGAAATAGCCGTGACTGAGGCAGCAATTATGATCGTAGGAGCAGAGATTGTGACAGGTATAGTGATCGAGATCGTGATAAGGATTATGAGCGCTCTCGAACTTATGATTCTAGAAGTCACCACAGGTCATGTTCAAGGTCTAGGGAACACTCTAGGGATCATGATTGCCACAGGTACTTGTTTAACCTTATCCCATGCTTGTTTAACAATATATTATTAGTTTTGTTTTGTGATCTTTGTTTAACTTATTAAATGTATAATGTAATATAATATTTATTTTTTATTATTGTAAAATGTGCCATCCTGGGTCTTTTACGATTCTTTTCAAATTTAATGCTGAACTCTGGCTACTATTTGAGTCCAAGAAGCTAAATATAAGATAAAAGCCAGGGACAGTTGCATCAAATTTATTTGAGGATGTGAGCTACAATCCTCTATGATTCTGGCAACGAAGAAACTTTTATCACGTGAAGCTACATCCTTCTTTTCTTTCTTTCTTTCTTTTGTTTTCTCTTATCCTCATGATGATAAGAATCTTACTCAGCATTTTTGGGTGCTATCATCTGTTTCTAGTATATTTCCCTTAGTATTGGAATACAGCATGGAGAAATGGTTGTAATCTTGAATAGACCCAAAACCAACCATGCTTAAGGCAAAGGGGTGGAGCAAACACCTGTACCGTAGATTTTAATGCTATTTTTCTTCACATAAAAAACCCTGTTTTTTTTAATCTCATCTAAATTCTAAAATATCTTGACTACTGTTTGTTTATGATGAGCTGATGAAGGGATGGCATTCCTTTAGGACCTCATTATATTATGACTTGTTAGTTATTGCTTGGATTTGAATCTTGATCTTAACCTCAAAAACCAGTGATAGATATTTGCCTTCCTTATTGTTCTTTTTGTTTTGTGTCTGAAGCTTTTGAAGTTTTCTGTGCTGATAAGGATTATTCTTGAATGTTACTCATTGTTTTTAATCAGGTGTGACCGATACTAGATGCATGAATGCTGCCCAAGAAGAAAATGAATACGAAACCGTTCTTGCTTATGTAAGCCAACTTATATAGGGGAGTAGCATTCCTCAGTTATGTTATTTGATAGTTTGTCATGTGGTTGTATCAACATGTTTAAGAGGGTATTTGTTGTTTTTGGTTCCTAGAGACTAGGAATTGAATTCTAAACTTGTGGTTAAGAGCATAAGTAATTCTATTACTAAACCATATGACTGATGGTTAAGAGGGTGTTTGTTACTTGGTGATGTGAGTTTGGTATTCATTATCATTGGAAATGTAAGTTTGCTTGATTTTACTATTCCAATTTCCATGTCAGGCAAATTTTCAGTTAAGTATCGAAAAGGAGAATTAAAATAATGAGGTTGAATTTATTTTCTGCTTTGACAGCTTGATATTAAGTTGGCAAGAAAATTGAGGATGCTGGCAACATGATTCACATAATTGTATCTAGATTCAGTCTCATCGAATGGTAATCATGCATGATTGGGTGTGAATTGATATGCATGAATGAATTATGTAAGAAAAGAAAATTTTTTTGTAATTCTCAATTATTTGCTGTGTAAAAAGCATTAGATTAAATTACAATCAAAAGTTAAGTGGGAAACTGCAAGGAGTGTAAGTTTATTCATCGATATGAGACATCACTTAGAGAATCATCTATAAAGAAAGGAGTGTGCTCTAATTATGTAAATGCACATCTCCAATATGCAAAGTGGCTCAATTTGTCTCATCTTGTGTAGCTTATTATGACACACAAGGTAAAAAAATGTGAATCTCAAGGGAATCTAGGTTTAAAAAAAAAGAAAAAAAAGGAGAAGAACCTAAGGGGCACCAAAATCTGTTGTGCATGTGAAAGCTAAAATTTACATTTAAATTATGGTTTGTCTTGTGTGTAAAAGAAAAGAAAATACCGAACTCATCAAAATCAGCAAACCATATTCTAATTAAAACCAGA